AGTGAGAAAGTGATTGTTAATTCAATTGGTGCAATGAAATAATATTATATTCATTAAAATAATATGTAAATATAAGTAGTTTAATGTTGTATTATATAGTTTAATTTTATCATCTTAATATACATTACATGATATAATGATATTTTAAAAAATGCATAACTATTAAAGTCTTAGAGTACTAACTGTTCCAATAAAAATGTTTAAAGGTCAAAATGTCATTCTAAAGAATATATTTAAAAAAAATAGTTAAATATCAAAACCTTACCAAAGGAATAACAAAAAAGTAAGTTATGACACGATCTAATAAAGCTGCTATCAATACTGCCATCAGTATCCACCACTTTTTGATCCATTTCCATTCACTATGTATTGTTTCCACTACGCAATAGAATGTTACTAGCTGGAAATATGTATGAAAATTAAAACGGCGTTCAAAATTGAAAAATAAATATAAATTTATATTTTTAAATATTATATGTATATTAATAGAAACTCTGGAGTTTTTATATGTAGCAATATACTCTATGCTCTGGAGTACGGCCTGAATGAAGATTTCGAGGGAAGCCCATGACCAGGAGTGGGACGTTAAATAAACGGCTGAATAGAACTGGGACTCGAGACTAGACTCGATAGACGAGGCATCGAAATAAATGGCAATCACATTAGTCACTTGCGATTTTCTTATGTTACAAAGTCATGGCTGAGCTCATGGTTCTCTATGGTTTCAGCCATTAGTATATAATTTTTGTATTGATCTGTATGGACTTCAGCACGATGTTGGATGGCCTTAACCGATCATACAAGTAAAGAAAAAATAAACATGGATAAGACAAAACTTATCTTGTATGAATATGAAAATTTACATGGATGAATATTATTATTATTCTTAATGTTGGGAAATGCATTTAAACATACCTACATACATACAGATTATGTGGGGCTTACTGGTGGGATAATAATCAAATAGATTGTAAAACCATCCATATAAATAAGTTGGTATAATTTCGAAAAGGAAGCCGATCAACAAATCGGCAGTAATAATACTTTCTTAAATTTACGCGCATATTTGATATTTTAAATAAAACTATCTTTTCGTAATTGGCAATGCCCAAAGTGCAATATAAAAGGCTCCGGTGGAAGTTCCCATATGAGATCGGATCAGGAATGAGAAGATTTGCAAAGGATAAAGATTCTCTTGACTTGTCTAATCTTCTTAAGAGTGGAAATTGGCAGCTCATATCACTCAGAAATTAATGAGACCATGAAACTTAAAAGATCTCGAGCGGGGGCCTTTGGGGGGGGGGAGGTCGTGCTGGAAAGTAAATAAATAAATATACATTACCACACAGCACCATCTAGCTTAAATACATACATATTATAAATATAAACACCCATGACTGGAGTACAAGCAATCATCCTCATCACGCAAATGAATGCTTCCAGCAGGGCTCGAACCCGCAACCGCTGGCATAGCAAGTAGGGTCACTACAAACTGTGCCAAGCTTGTCGTCGAAAGTGAAGTGATATTACGATACGACGGGTATTGTGTCCTGACAAAAGTCATCGCAATTGATTTAAGACCAGTTAGATACTTTGGAAATATTTAAAAGACGCCTAATCGTACAAAACTGTGTAGAAAAATACTTACAAAAGTGCAGTAGTCTACAATAGCATTGAGCGCAAAGAATATGAGGACGAAAAAATCACCGAAGTCAACAGTTGCAAAGTAAATTGGCCACAAGTAAAAATGCGATCCGCTTCCTAAAAACCATCAATAATAATATATATGTATAATATTTCCATTAAAGGCTATTATTTAAATTATAAGTCTAAGAAAAAAACTTTTTAACAAAAAAATAAAAACCGACTTCAAACAAAAGCACTAAAAAGTAAAAAATAACTAATTGGTAGTTTTCATTTACTATACATACCTAATCAAATATTTTCGAATTCGGTGTGCTTTGGCTAAGTAATTAAAGCCTACCTTTTAAATACATACCTAATCAAATATTTTCGAAATTGGTGCCAGCCCATACAATGTATGTGTACAGGTGGTATGCATAAATGCATTTTTTTTAATATTGGGAAATGTATTCATAACATAAAAAAATTACAATATAACCACAAATGTCCAAAAAATACCATACCGTGGCGCCAATAAATAATTGTGCCATTCACCCATCTATTACAATAGTTTTTCAATAAATATGACGTTAATGCTTTATATATATACAAAAGTCCATTTGACGCTGTGATAATACCACTATCGAAATTAGGTTTTATCTAAAATAAATGTAAAGCATTCATTATTAAAGATCACACACATATTAAATTAATACTCATAATATAAATTAAGGACAGTGGTAACCCAGTAGTAACGCACTCGCTTGGAAAACCGAGTGAAGCGGGTTCAACTCCCGGGTCTCGCACGTCTGATATTTTCATGTGCGAAAATTTCTAACATGATTTCCACTTGCCTTACGGCAAAGGAGAATATCGTAGGAAAACTGCTTGTCTGAGAGAACCTACCAAGTTTTCGAAAGACATGTGAAGTCCGCTACCCTGCACTTGGCCAGTGTGATGGACTATGACGTGATCCCCCTCGTGCTGAAGGAAGGCCCGTGCCCAGCAGTGGGACGTTAAAAAGGGCTGAATACAAGGATCTAGAAACCTTTGAAGTCCTGCCTCATCCAGCGTTTAGTTCCAACTTACCGCTATCTAATTTATATTTGTTTTTCTGGTACATTTTTTCCGGGGAGAAAATTATAAAGTATGGAGATGTAGAAAATGTAATTAAGGATATTTTAGCTTAATCAAAAGCAATAATAGATTTTATAAAGTTTTTAGAGAACTGGCTAAGAAATAGGCTAAGGACTTAGAATATTTTGATTATTTGTTAGACGACATTATCTATGGAACACTCTCTATATAAATATTAGATATGTATAAGAAAAAAAATGAAAATTACTTCATCAGTGCCTCTTGCGCTTAATACGTGAATAATCGGTGGAGCTGTCATTGACTCAGCGAGTAAATCAAAATCAGCACTCTGTAAACGAAGTTAGATGTTAGAAAGTTATCTACTACCATAAATATAATTGGACTACCATTATAAATACGCAAGTTTTTATGTTTGTATATATTTGTTACTCATTTAAATAGATACAGATTGACAGATTTGGATGAAAAGTATACAAATATGACTACGACCTGGACCCCAAGTACGTCTTCGAGCGAAACGACGTTAAATCACTTGGCACCATATAATAATATTTATCGGAACTAGTCTAGTATTACTGACTACGTTAAATAACAAAAATATCTGAAACAAGGAAAAAGTAGCCTATGTGTTATTCCAGACTATAATCTATCTCTGTGTCAAATTTCATCCAGAGCCGTTCTGGCTTGAAAGAGTAAAAAACATCCATACATCCATACTCACAAACTTTCACATTTATAATATTAGTACCTATAGAAATAATTGAACCAAAAAAGTATGTATCACTCACCATTAAATATTCTTGATCACTTACGTAGCTTTGTTGGATTTCCACTACTGGTTTGTTCTCGTATGTAATCACGATATGCATACATATAATGAATAGCAACATGCACAACGCTATATAAGAGTAGTTTAACAACTGTAATCATATTTTCATTAGGCTTTTGTTTAAACGCTTACCAGAAATGCACCCATTTTATAACCAATAAATTCGAAATACCTGCCAGAATGAATAAATGCTTACCAAATTGTGTTTCATGAAGTATTGTAGAAATGAAGCTATTTTCTTTTTTATTCTATGCCATAAATATTATATTATTGCCTTTAAAGTTAATTTCAGACCAAATATTTTATATTATCGCTATAAATAGATGTTACCAATATTTTAGTTCACTACTTTCAAGTTAGTATTTTTTGCTGAGGCAAAAAAGCTAACGGTCGATCGTACAATTTTTTTAATATCAAATATATTGTTAATTGTTTATTGTTTTATGAATTTCATTAAAATATGATAACATAGCCAAATAAATAGTTTACTTTCAATATTCCTGCATCAGATGACTAAGGTAAATCGAATGTCACAATATTTGGTGAACATTTATTCATTTTGGTAAGCGAAAAGAATATAAAAGATACGAAACATACAATAATTATACTGATGAGTGTATATTTATTTTGAAACTTAAAACGTGGTCCTTCAAGCACCTCGGTAAAGAGTTAGTTTAATTTATTTCAAGTTAATATATTTTACTTGGTACTTAGTCTTAGGGTCTAAAAATTATTTTGATGAGCATTTAACTTGTACCCTTTTCATTATAGTCATTATTTTATTGTGTAGTTTGAAATCAATTGTTTAGATCTATACTGTATATTGTATGTATATCTACTAAGTTTTATCTGTGCTTTCCACATGAATTATTCTATTTTACCTGACTTAGTAAACCAAACACCCGAATAACTGTATATAAGTTAGACGAACTAAAACAAGGAAGACGAGCTGTATCCTTCAGGCTACGGACTTAATACTTTTTGTGATAAAACCTTTTTTCTAATAAATTTCATCTAAATCGGTTCATTAGTTTCGGAGCTTATTCGGTAACAAACAAACAAACAACCAAAAAAAAAATCTTTCCTCTTTATTATATTAGTATAGACAATTCACAATCTATCGATGCTAATGGTTATTACAATTATCCAATGACGTATATTACAACTTACTATATTACATCGTGTACTAACTTTCCAAATACGTTTCTTGAATAGTTCACTATAATTAAGAACTGCAAAGATCCATACTATAGGGAAGATAAAAAGATCTAGGTTTGACAATTTAAACTCTATTTGATCTTTAAGTACAATGCTAAAAATATCAAATTGATTACATATATTAAATATACACCGAGCTAAAGAGGGAGAAAATCGACTAATTTTGGTTTTGTAGTGTCGTCTCATTCACTCAGTACATTATGTCAAGTTCTCAGTAAATACCGGACCGTTAGTGCTCCGTTCGACAGAGACGACGCTCTACGAAGCCGAAACTAGCTGATTGTGCCAAAAGAAGTATAACTTCAAAAACGTCATTGCAAAGCATATCACATTGCCTATTAAAAGTAGAAACAGAATAATATGAAGTCATTACGTTGGACATACTATTGTATAAATATAAAGAAAGTCTTACTCAAAATATTCGATCTGTGCGACGGAAAAATTTTCAGTTGGTGATTTGTAAAAATATGTTTCGTACGTCACGTTTGTATCATTAAATTTCGTTGAAAACTCTAATAAATTGTAACAGTTATAGATATCGTTACCTAAATAAACTGTTGTATTGATGCATCTGAAAAGATGTCTTATATGCAGCTTTATCTATCCATATAATAAAGTTCTAACTGAGTAGAATCTGTAAATTAAATACTTTTTGGTAGATCTTATTGAAATAGTCATTTTTATCGATACAGTGGCTGAATGTATAATTTTTTGAATGTTTGTCTGTCTGTCTCGAAACGAATCACGAGAAAGCCACTAGACACTCAAAGACCGCGGACACGTCGGAGTTACAGTTAACAATAGATTTCTTAGAAATTTCATTAATTTCTTAGAAATTTACCTGGAGGTGCAAGACACATTTTGATGAAATTTGGTATAATGATAGCCGGCTATCTGGATCAACGTATAGGATACTTTTTACTGCGGAAAAAACTCATCTCTAAGGAATCTATACTAAGTGTTAAAACGTAACGTAGTTTGCTGTAGGTATAAAAAATCAAATAAGGACCGTATTCAATTGACGACACGTTTGGCTCAGTTTGTGTTAGTGACCCTACTTGCTGTGCTAGCGGTCGCGGGTTCGAGTCCCGCTGGGGGCATCATTTGTGTGATGAGCACGAATGCTTGTACTTCAGTCATGGGTGTTTATATTTATAATATGTATGTATTAAAATTTATATATGTGTAGTGTATCAACTATCCGGCATCCATAACACAGACCCCGTAGCTTACCATGGAACTAGATGGTGTTGTGTGTTAGAAGTCCCAACATATTATTATTATTATTTAATAATTGAACACAGTAAAGCTATACAGATTGCTCAGTGTGAGTTCAACAATGACCTCATCACGTTAACCGACCTGGGGCTTTTTTTTGTATTTTGTTAGATAGTTATATAAATTCGTGTAGCATTTTAGAAGACTTAATATGTTTAGTGAGCGTTCCTAGAAGTTCTTAAAGTATTATATATGATTGTATTTATGAAACATTATTACCTGTTCCAAGGAACTTTAAAGAGAATACCACGTATAAAATAAACGAAGTATAATATCGTATTATTTATCATGACTAAAAGTTGAAATATGCTCGTTATAACGAATAACCAGTTGCAACCTGCAAAATATTAGTAAAATTTAAATAGTTTTATTATGCTCTAAAAATTAATATTCCTTGATATCTAGACTCTTCATAAGCAACATAAGCATTATTATACTGATAGAAAAATATTAATTTTTATTTACAAGTATATATACTCTAGGAAAGCACAAACAAATCTATCCCACGGGAACCGTTCATTTTTGCGGTATGAAAGTATCTAAAATATTGACCGGGGATATAAGGTACCATCATGCAAAATTTCATTTAAATCAATCCAACAGTTTCGTAGATTAGCCCGTACAAACTGATAAATAGACAAACAGACAGAAAAACAAAAAAAAATCTGGATTTATTCTATTTCTCTTCTTACATCCCCCTGACTATGTACAGACATTCAACCTCTACAGTTTTATTATATGTATACATACGTAGCAAAAACATTTAATTTTATTACTATGTTAATTTCTTCGACCCATATTCTTTATTTGGGTTCCAAAAAACATGAAAATTATGATTTTCAGGACTAGAATAGAGTCTTTAAGATTTAGAATTTCATTAATATTAAAGATTTAACTAATATTTAACTTACCATGACACAGTGGCATGATTTTAGAAATATACAAGTGGTGATCAGGTGCATAAGAACTTAAAAATACATACGCGTATGTCATAGGTAAACTTTTGCATAGTAAGTTAGAAATGTAAAGCCAAAAAAATCTGTAAAAAATTATAATGTTATTATATTTCCATTTATTTTGTTCTTGAATGGGTAGCGTCGATTTTATTTGTCTATTGAATTTATTTTAATTGATCTACTTTTTTTTATGAATAGTTCAATATAAATTACAAGAAAAAAAAACTTAAAATCGCTTCTTAGATATCTTACGCGAATATTTAAAATAAAACTTTTTTTTTGTTTTTTATCGCGGATTTATAAAATGAAGTTTCCGTACGTTTCTTGAAATATCCAAAAATATAGTTAAATTAAAAAAAAGATAGTTATTTTTGAATGAATTTATATAAAATTCGAGGTAATTTTTAAAGAATCATTCAACGAGTGCCAAGTTTTTTTCTTACGTTACTATATTATTTATATATTAAGGATTCAGACTAAACCAGATATCTGTAGTAAAAAAATATTTAGTCCATGCAGAAATCGAATACAGCTCATCACTACATAGTATAAAACAAAGTCGCTTGCCTCTGTCTGTCCCTATGTATGCTTAGAACTTTAAAACTACGCAACAGATTTTGATGCGTTTTTTTTAATAGATAGAGTGATTAGATGGAAGGTTTATATGTATAAAACATGCATGTTACAGTACAGAAAAGCCGAGAAATTCAAAGATTTGTACTTCATACTAACCGTTAAAACGTACCTAGGGACGAACCCGAGCGAAGCGAGGGTGAATCGCTAGTATAATTATATAGTATAGAAGGTATAGCCTATATTATACTTTAGATTCTGGATTATGAACTGCTTGGAATTCTACAATAGTGAATGATTGCTTTAATTATTGAGAATTATAGCTTACTGTACCAGAAATTCTAGACATTACATATTATTAGTACGATTTTCAACAAATTACCTGTTCACATTATTTTGTTGCATACACAAGATCTCAATTTTGCTTGTTGTAGACGTATATGCTGATAAAAAGGACAGTTTTTCCATTAAAGATGCTGGGATAAATGACTTTTTCGGTTCCAACTCTTTCTGTTAATTAAACACAGTTGTATAACGAATTATGAAAGTATAATTGGATATTTGTTACATAATTGCACGAGGCATTGAATAGATTGAGATGAAAGTTGGGCAATAGCCAGGTTATGTTTGAACTAAGTATATATTTGTGAATAAATCTCTAGCCAGCAAAATTATCAAAAGAAACCATTTAGCAATGTCATGTCAGCGTTTGTTTTTGTTAGAAGGAATTACTATCGGTGCCAACCTAATTGGCACCATTGAAGAACAGACCAGGTTTCAATATAATCAAAGGCTTTCTTATAGTCCACAAATACTTGGTACAGAGGCTGATTAAATTCTTCTTCCTTCTGTATAATCTTTCGCATTTAATGCATGTATCTATGATACCATATCCCCTTCCACATCTGGCTAGTTCTGAGAGTTGAAAATTATCGAGACTACGCGTGAAATGAATTGTGATTTATGAGAAAAAGTTGTAGACATGCCATAAGAGAGAGATAGGCTGATATTTTAGAAGGGTTTTATCTTCTTTCTTGAAGAATTTCTTGGTCCATACCTTCGAAATTCTCCTCGAAAAGATAACGGAATTAAATATACACAAAGTTGTTAGAGCGTACGAGCCTCTCCTGGTTTTAGAAGCTCTGTTGTATTTAAATCTAAAGTAGTATTTACTATATCGTGTGAATTTAAATTTATATTCTTTATGAAAACGAATATAATGTAAAATGAAAGAAAATATATATAAATAGAAAAATATAGAAAATGTAATCGAAATTCAAGCCTAAACTTATTACTCAAGTAATGCATTAAATATTAGAACATACCGTAGGTAATACATGTAGATTTTGTTGTAAGGAAAATCTCGCTGAACCAGCCCCTAAGGAAATGTCACTTTCCGTACCAAGATGCCACTCCGTTGCCGACAACTTTTTAGAAGATTCACTACACCTTAATGTATCATCCATTATTGCAAATTGATAAAAATCCGCTGTTTTTTTATAACATTTGACACGTTGCGTACCTAATAATAATAGAGAAGATTTTTATATTATAATAATTTGTCTATGAATCTTGAGATATTCTTACCGGCCAGTTATTATATGCCTTGATGTTATACTTCCATTAACAATTATTACTACTGTTGATCGAAGATGTTGTAGAAAAAAGAAGTTGGTTTTGGTTTATAATATCATTTGCTACAGTAATACTGTGCTACGTGCATAGAAAAATAAAGAATCAAATTAAAATCTGTTTTTATCTGTCTGTGTTGACCACCGTTCGCTAGTCTCGCTAAAAATCAAAAATGGCTAGACCGATTTCAATAATTCTTTTTGTTTTGTTGGGAGTATGTTAGGGTTGGTTTAAATATAAAAAATAGGTAAAACCCAAAGAAAACGCTGGAAAATTAAAAACTTTAGAACCTACCGTCTACCTATTCCATACTTACCTTCAAAACGTAGGTCGAGGGAGCATATTATAAAACCGTATTAAAATCCAAAAAAGTTCAATAATTAAAAAAATATTTAAAGAATTATTTATAACACAATTAGTATATTTTAAATTTAAGGTTTCCGAAATAAGTTGAAAATCTAATTTTTTAATGAGAACAAAAAAATTAAAATGAGTTTCTTGGTTTACCATCATATTATATCTACGTATTTTAGGAGAATGTTGGTTTATTGCAATTTTATTTACGACGAGTACGCGGTTTGAATCTGTCGAGGACTAGTGCGTTACATCGTTCCCACTGAAGGGTTAGTATTGTGTAAATAATGACAAAACAGAACTTGAGATAAGGATGCATTCATGGATATTCCGAAGAAAAAAACACATTTATCTCAGAAGAAATGGTTAATTGGAGTACTCTTGTTTAGATAGTACTGAGCAAAGCATATTATATTATTCAAGAGATGTTGATAGACATCATTGTGTTGAATTATGATAACTTGACAATGTTTACTATCCATTCAATCCCACCCCTAATGGGGGCCATTAATATGGGGATCCCATTAATATTATAAATGCGAAAGTTCGGATGGATGGATGTTTGTTAATCACACCAGAACGGCTAAATGGATCTGGATGAAATTTGGTACAGAGATAGATTATAGTCTGAAATAGTACATAGGTTACTTTTTATCCCGGAAAAAGGTACGATTCCTGTGATATAGATTTGTTTTTCGCTAGTTTACTTTATATTCGATTAAGTTTTTCGCATCAAATTGCGTTTCATTGGTTCCGAACTGAATGAAAGGTGAATTGTGGCTGCCAGTACAAGTGATACGATAAAATACGTTGTCTTCGAAAATTCAGGATTATTTCTTCTTAGGGAGATAACACTGACAGCATATGCCATATACAAACTAGCTCGAAGTGCGTTATCGATTAGGTACCGTGTTTTATCTACAATACCAGCTAATAGCACAGAAGCAGTGCTCATCACAGCCAAGTTCCATCAGCCTAGCTCCTTCATCGTAGGAATACGGCGCTATACGTCAGAGTCGAATCTGTGCATTAGTTATTTTTTGAAAAATCGATACAGAGGGCGAATCTATTAATTAATTATTATTGTACTTTTTAGATTTTTCTGTCTTCTGTCTGGGAACGATTTATGAGAAAACCACAGGACAGATTTTGATGAAATTTAGTATGATTATAGCTGGTTATCCAGGTCAACATATAGGATACTTTTTACTGCAGGAAAAGGTCTCATCTCTGAGGTATCCGAAATGTAATCCGAAAGTAATGTTATATTTTTTTAATATGTAATGTTATATAATTAAATAATAATTAAAGTACTGTAACTCGGTGTTTCACAAGACAACAGTTGAGTTTCTCGTCGGCTCTTCTAAGCAAAAAAGCCTTTAGAGCCAGCGGTAGCTTCCTTAAGTACTGCCTATATTGACTTAAAATTAAATTGACGATCCAAAAGTGTTTGTGTAAGTCTATTCGAATGAAGTTAAGTTTTAATTTCATTTCATTACACCCTTTCGTATTAATTTTTACTTGTAAAGAACATAAAAAAGATTGTTAGAGCTTATAAAAGTAAGCAAAGCTCAGCAGGTACAAATCTTGTTACGCCAGCTTTGCAGAGCACAACACTGCTTGAATAAAAATATTATAAAGGTTGATAACCAAGGAATTACAGAGGAAAGAATACGATTATGAGTTTTTTTTATTTTTTTATCTATATTAATCGTTCTTTGCAAGGTTTGGTTGTTGCAGATTAAATATCGTCTTACATCGTTTTCTATTGCTCAATACTATTGAGAATGTATACAAATTGGATTTTTTATATGTTTTTTTAATGACTCAGTTTCGTTTAGTGCAGTACACGCCTAACGTTTCTGTAGGCGCCAGATATCTATATATAAAATTAAACGTAAAATATTAGCCAAATAAAAATTTCTCCTGAATTCTCTCTTTCTATCTCTCACTTTCTCTCTCACTCTCTCCTTCCCTCCTTCCCTCCCTCTTCCTGTCTATCTATCCACACATGTCAGGTCAGGGGTCAGCTTTCCTTATTTTTCTTTTATACTTCGCTCAATAAGAGACATCATTTTCGGAAGTTCTACTGAACTACGACATACATTTATATATCAAACAAGAAAAGAGTTACGTTTTGCGAATAGATAAAACATTAAACTTATTTAATAATTCAGCAAGTTTTATGTATGAAATCAATTAAAATCAGCAAAATTATAAAAATATGTATAATCATTAAATATTCTCGATCGCTTATATTGCATGTTTGAATTTAAACTCTAGGTGTCCTCGTAATGTAAGCATAATGAATAACGAAATATATAATGCTATATGTTGGTTTTATTAATAAACTCCACATATTCAATACCTTACAATTTTAAATAATATTGATACGAGTAAAATTTTAACAATTTTACTTTTTTCTTTAATTAACATTTTTCTATTTAATTAAAGTTTTTATTTTTTTGCAGCATTTTTAAACGAAATAAAATAAATTTATTGCAATTAATACTTATTATTACTTTATTCAATATTTTCAACCGACTTCAAAAAGGAGGAGGTTCTCAATTCGACTGTATGTTTTTTTTTTATGTTTGTTACCTCAGAACTTCGTCATTTATTAACCGACTAGGACAATTTTTGTTTTGTTTGAAAGGGTATACTTCCAGATTGGTCCCATTTAAATTTCAAAAAAAATACCACCCCTAAGGGTGGAAAAACAACTAATGATGAATTTAACCTACTTCTAATTGTCATATTGACTTGAAACTTTGCAAGTATTTCTATTTCCGTTGATAGTACAGTGGTTCGGTGTTGTTGACCTGATCTGATGGCAAGGCCAGAAGGTGGATAGGTGGAACTCTTCAACGGCTAATAGTAGATACTTTGAGTTTGGGCTTATTTTGTTTGATTTGACAAGCCTAACACGTTAGAATCCTTACTATGCTACTACAGTCTACACTAAAAAGGGAAAAATAAAAAGTTTTTAACAAAAAAATAAAAACTGACTTCAAACAAAAGCACTTAAAAGTAAAAAATAACTGATTGGTAGTTTTCATTTACTATACATACCTAATCAAATATTTTCGAAGTCGGTGTGCTTTGGCTAAGTAATTAAAGCTTACCTATTAAATACATACTTAATCAAATATTTTCGAAATCGGTGCCAGCCCATACAAAGCAAAGCACGCCGACTTCGATAATATTTGATTAGGTATGTATAGTATATGAAAATTACCAATCAGTTATTTTTTACTTTTTAGTGCTTTTGTTTGAAGTCGGTTTTTATTTTTTGTCACTCTGTACCAAACTGCCATTCCATCATGGCAGCTTTTTGGAAGTTTCATTGAAAAATCTAGAAATAAATAAAATACCTGAGCGTTTCTGTTTTCGTGAAATGGTTTTTTTTCGGAAAAGATAGTAAAATTGTTTTTTTTTTCAGAAAAGGCATCTATCTATATAGATAAACTAAAAACTTAAAAAGCACAACCTTATCTAAATACAACATTTGATCCAAATCGTTAGAGCCATTTCCAAAATACACTGATTTTTTTTACAAGAATTGCTCATAATAGTATAGTTGACATGTTCAGATAGTATTTTTTGACATTCTTGATATACGTTGGATAATTATAAAATAATATTTAATTAACTTGAAAATAATATTTAATTTCTTAATATACGTTAGATAATTATAAAATAATATTTAATTAACACTTGTACAATTTTCAGGTATTTTCGGAACGGAAATCCGAGGTACTCGTACTAAAAAATAGCAGAAATCTGTAACTGTTGTTTACAACTTTATGGGTTTTAGTTTTTTTGGGCGGAATCCTAATTCTTTTTTAAAATAAAAGTGGCCTATGTTATTCCTTATAAAATCAGCTATCTGGCAGTGAAAATCCCGACAAAATCGGCCCTGCCATTTCTGGGATTAGTTAGAACAAACAACCGACCGACAAACTGACACTTCAATCTTATTTATTTGTTTAGATAGAGTGAATACAAGTAATATGGTTTACTAAGATAAAAGAAAATATACGATAATTCAGTGCATAGCAACACAAAATAAATTAATGCCCTCTTGACCGATTTCGGTCATAATGGCCAATCTGAGACTAGCCATCTGGAGAAGAGATATAAGCACAAGTCGAGCTTTACTGAAGAATTGTTACTTAAGCAGAGATTTGTTTAAGTCTTGTTTAAACTTCTTTACAATTTCATAATGTTACAAAACACTCAGGTGCTCTGATAAACGTATGTACTTTTCGTATCTTGGGAGTTGGGATGCTGTAAAATGATGATAACGAATTTCCTACTCAGATAACCTTATTTCGTGTTGCTCAGACGTTTTCATTGCTGTGAAACGACAAGTGCATTGATAATATTTGGTAACCTAGTTTCGTATAACTGAAGAAGTACCTGGGCTATCGAGCTCCGCTCGGAGTTTTTGGCCTAAAGTACAATTTTCTTTTTTTTT